AGTCGAGCCTCAGACACCTCACTCATCATGAAAGAGCAATGCGGAAGCGTGTTATTTTGAGGTGTGCTTGAACTAACTCAGTTGAAATTGAAAAAAAAATAAAAAGATCCACCGCCCCTTCCTTCTTTGGCGATTCGGAGATCAATAATAGAGCTGAAGCCTTTGACCCGCCGATAACATCGTACATCTGGAAAAGGCTCTTTGACTTCTGCAACAGCCTAATCGGGTGTTTGACTCCAAACACTCAGCATTTATGATTAYATGATGAGCACCAGGGTGAGTGTATGAATAAGTGAGGGGACCAGCTGTGCATCAATAAAAGAAAAAAAAACTTGGGAAAAAACTCTTGTGGAGCAACGCAAGAACAATAGTGAAAATGTTTGCTCCTAACAAGTAAATAAATACATATTTTATTCAGTAGAATGTTTATACACTCCTGACATTTAAGCCTTTGACTGGTTTATAAATATRCTCTAACAAAATGTTTTATTTATTCTTGCAGTGCAAAAAAAAAAAGTTCAAGTACACAAACACAGATATGTAGCGTCAGTACGTAAATTCGAAACATTCAGCCATTTTCTGCTACTTATCCGAAACCGGATCGTGCTTTCAAATAAGCCTGATCTTACTGAAATTTGATGTGAGATCAAGTTTGTAGTCTTTGTTTATTGGCACCTCTTGTTGGAAGAAGTTGCCCAGCAGAAGGTGATAAAATTTCAGCGCTGACCTTGATGAAAGCGGCGAAGGAAAGAAAGCACGGTTCCTCAGCACATCTGTGCAGAGGTAGAAAAGAAAAGGAAAGTGTGATGAGCGGGAGGCAGACAGAACAAAAAACAACATCAACAACTAGTTTTTGAATGTGTTGTTTGCATGTGTTCGCTCCTTGGGGGTGGGCAGGAAGGTGGGTGCTTGCAAGCGAGCGTTCCTGTGTGCGCGAGCAACTGCAGCTAAAGGAAGATTGTTCCAACGTACCGTGCCRACGTCAAATGGGCAAAAAGCAAGTCGGAGCTGAAGCAAACAAAAAAATATACATCAAAGAAAGGTCATTCATCTTTGTGTTGTACCCTGATACTGGGCAACAACAATCCAACATGATGATGCAAAAACTTAAGGGAAACAAACAGCTTGTTTTGAAGCTTTCAAACATATCCTCGAATTGTCTTTTTTGGAAAGATGTTACGAGTTTAAAAGCAACCTGTTGYAACTCTCGTCTTACTCCACTTTAGCTGACAGGTGTGGGCCAGATCGGGTGTCAAGCTGGCACTGCTGGCATGGYAAGTGCTTTGTTAACACATCTGGATATGAAGGTACTATTTTTTTTCAATGGCATTCCACAACTGGCCCAGTTGTTTGGTACATGTSGGTGTTGGCCCATGCATGGACCAGCTTTGGCAAACTGCATCTGGGYCACCAAAGGGCCATCATTCTTTACTGTACCTGGGTCGAGCGTTACTGCTCAGGTAAGGACATACGCGATCATACTACATGACCTGCTACGATAACCTACTACACGACAGGTGAAATGTACACCATGTGCAACACAATCATACTATAATCAATATTACCACCTGTGAAATACTTTACTTATGCTTTATTCACCCTGCCTGCACTGTCATCCTAAGCATTTCATTGTGTTGATGACCTGTGTTAACCTGCAGATGATTATCAACCAACCCTGATTCCTGAACACGTGGGCCAGAAATGTGCTGGATCCATTTTGCTATGTGGAAACTTGTTTAAATCTATACCTCAAATCAAGTCTCTTGTCTTCCCAACATTTTGTCWTTGTAGACAGTTGAGATCTAAATAAGGCCAACCCAAATGATTTGTGCACAAAAACCCAAAACATCTACAGTTTAATGTCATTAACGACGACCACGGAAGTAGTGCAAATCGCAGCGAGCTATCTGCTTACTTTTGTTCTTTTTTTGTCAGTTCCCTAATTTTCAAATGCAACCCCATGCGGAGCAAATGTAACAGCATGTGAACTCTTGGCTCTGGCACATGGAGGAACTCTAAAGACTATAGTTTTGTGCGAGACTTAAGCAATTTGCCAATATTTGCTCTAATCTTTTATGATTGGGTTGCGCTGTAGGTATTAAACTGATTCCCTTATTCACAGCAACTTAGCATTCAGCAGGGGATAAAGCGTCTTCCTCAGGGATGGTTTCACTGCAAACATAAAGACACCTCTTTTTTATTTTACTTTTTTCTGCCATTGAATTGCAGGATCAAGACYATTTACAGCCAGACCACAGGGCCAACCTGCTGTCTACCCACGTCTAGATATGATCACCTCGTATAGCCACAGAGTACAAATCGTCAGAAYGGCAAGATTCAGAGTTTGATTTAAAAACAATATGGTGAACCCATAGAAGAAGAAAAAAAAGGTCAATATTCACATACACTGCCTGACTTCCAATCACACCTGTGCTGCCGCCATTCCATCTACAGTCACACACACACAGAGTGCAGTTCAGCTGATCTCACTAAAGATAGCAAGCAGCCGTGGAGCTCGTTGTTTCTCTTAGATGGAGTCTGATTCATGAATTGACCTTGGCTCTGTTTTCCAGCAAATCTGCTCTAAGTCTTCAGTACTTTTCACCAGTACCTCCCCTTAAGACTGTGGTATTAACTATACACAGTATGCTTATTTAGCTAAAACCAAGAAGTWTTTCTGCTGTAAGAAGCCACAATCTGGTTTAGAAGTAAGACACACAAGCTTTCTGAGTAAACTATATCCTATTTTTAGACGATTTTTGTACCCTCATTAATGCTATTTTCATTCTGACAGTAGAATTGATTGACAGACTAATCATGTTTACAATCTTACGACATTGACCAACTTATGTGTGAAGTCACTTAAAAGAGGAGCCAGAYTGAAATGAGCTCTTCATTATTTTAACATCTAATTTTCCCTGTAAATAGCAAGCAATGTGTGGAAAAAGAAGGATTTTTTAATGTTCAGAACCCTATTGGCTCATTTCATCTTATTTAAAATCCCTGTTAATCTACATTAGGGATAAAATTAAGAAGACTTTACTGCAGTCACCTGTATAAAAGCCTCCTTAATGCTTCAATCTGTGTGATTTGCCTAACTTTTGGGGCAAASCAATATTAAGACACTGAGTCACTCAGACATCCCCTGAAGGTCATGTCTTTTTTTGTCCACGCTTCATCTTGGGACTATTGTTGATTTGTGTTATTCCCTACTCTAATCAGATATCATAGTTCTTTAATTTTATTGCTTGTATTTTATTAACCATGGTGTTTCAGTCACTGTTATTACGTTTCTCTTTGCACTTTAAATTCAAAGATGGTTTCATTGGTATAACACTGTTGTGTCCTATATTGTAAACTGTTTTAATTAGTTTTTCATGATGAGTGCAGCTGACCTCTTGGCCAGGTCAYGTTTGGAAAAGAGATTTTGGATCTTAATGGGTTTTGATCYGGTTAAATAAAGGTGATATACAGTTGTAACATATCAGCCTGAAGGCCCTGTCACACTGATATTTTAGACAACTTATGCCAACTTGTGATTTTTTTTCACTAAATGACTAATAAAAGTTTAATATTTGACCAATTTGTTATCATTACAATATATACATTGTTAAAAAAAAGCTTCCAGTTGTTTTTTTTTTTAAATTCCATCTTAAATGTCTCCAAACTTTTCATAAATTGACATAAGTTGTCTAAAACGTTGTAGTGTGTCAGGGCCTTCACAAGGTAGGATGTGGAGTCTGCAAACAGGCAATAGACAGCACCTCTGACAGTTAATGTGTGAATGGGACAGTTAGTTTTGCCTCTTACTGCACACACACACCCACAAACAAAACACAAAGTGTAGTGTAATACTGTAGAAACAGCAGTGACAGTATTTTTAATATTGCAGTACTGGTAAATATCTCAAGACCRGTATCAATTGCAATAAACCTGCTTTTTTTCTCGCTCCACTTTCTGTTGTCTAATCTTTGTGCTCACGTCTTTTGTGCATTTTTGATCAACGAAGCTGGGTATGAATATCTAGGGCGAAGCGGGTTCATCTGATTGTTCAGATACTGTACTGGCATGCAAACACAAATACGCAATAAATAAAACATAATAGCCTTTGATTTATTGCTGTCCAAGCCATCCCTTGTGCTACTGATATCTTGCACAATGATGTGCTTCACACATTATGCAGCCCATATAAGGTTCCGCAGATATATTTGCAAGCTTTTATGAGAGTGCAAGMGAAGTTCAGGACCTTTACTAGGACAGTGCTTTTACAAAAGTCGTTTATGGTTCCACTCAATCTCTTTACAATGCAATCTTTTTATATTACCTACAGAACATTTGTCGTTGTTTTTTTTTCGCACTTTCAGAGTAAATGGAACTCCTTCAAAGGAACTGCAAGCCAAATACCCTTTGCAAATCAGTGTGGCAGCTCTCTGTATAGCTTCTAAACAGTTCAAAATGAGTATTAACCCCCTGCTGCGCCCCATTTCCTTTTCTCAAAGAGTGGTGTACAAAAAAATGGAGATATCGTATAGAAAATCTATCCAACATGACAAAAGGAAATTCAATGGGAAATGTAAATTCTCCAAAATGCACTTTTGAAGAAGTTACAATAGGATAAAAGGATAAAGATGACGTGAAAGATGTTCATTCGATTAAAAAAGAAATCCTGTACATAAATTCCCTCATACTGCTCCTTTGATCAGAAAAGGCTTGATGTTTCTCAACACAACCATACATGGCAAAATGAATCCCCTAACCACATCTTCACGTGATGTGTGAACAAAAGCAGCTGCTACATCACAAAGGCCACAGCCTATTGTATCTGATACAAAGATATACAGTATCTAGCTCTAACAAAAGTAATAAAAAGAAGGAAAAAAATGTGTTTCTTTGTGAGGCTGTCTACCATCGAATGTCCTACAGGAAATCTAACCAGTATGTGCGCATGTTCTTCCTATGTCTTAACGATTTCTTAATCTCCTTTTAGTGTTTGCCCCTACCATTTTCCATGTGCTCTGCCTCACCGACACTGCCATCCGGCGTTGTCCTCTCGTAGCTGTCCTCAGGCAGGGGAAGGGCGCCCAGCCGGGGGCCCGAAGAACTCTTGCTGCTGGGGGTCTCCGACTCATCCAGGCCACTGTCGTAGCAGCTCTGCAGCGATCCCTGCTGGTGAGGGTCCTGGGGCTGGCTCACCACCGAGAAGGTCACTCGGCGAAACGGCTACAAGAGAAACCAAACGTCTGGGGGTCACTATAAAAGGGACTGCTTTAGCTTAGGCTTTTTATGTATTTATTTGTTTATTAGATGTAAGCTTGGGAGTTGGGTCCACTGGAAATCAGAGGAGATTCGGGTCATGATGTCTGGGGAAAGGAAGCTGTTTAAACTAGATTCCAAGGAAATCACGAAAAAAACTACTAATCTAAATAACTAAGCTTGCTTACCCAGAAATAATACAACCATCCTTATCTTCATATCACAGTTGCAGACCAACTCTTTCAAAAAGTAGTCATAGTATAGAAACATGAAATAGGCAGTTCTAAGCTTTGTTGAACTTAGGAGGTACCTATAGGCTGGATAAACCTGTAAAGCTGAAAGAACGCAAACACCAACTAAACAGAATGCAGCAATAAACTACTATAAGCGATATAGAAGGCAACAACTAACTAAAGAACACAACCAAAGAAACAGAGAACTCAGAGAACACAACAAACAACTAAACCAAATGCAACAACCAAGTRACCCAATGCAATAAATGGCTAAATAGCCTCAACAGCCATTTATGCAAAAAATGGCACCAACCAACTAATTAAAGAATGCAACAATAAACTAAAGAGAGWGTACCAGACAACAAAACAGACAACCAAGTGGACAAGCTTTCAGCTCCAATGGCTGTCTGATATGATGGCAATGCACAAGGCCACAGAGACAATGACGAGTCAGCACAACTGCACGTGTCAACCCAACAGATTTAGCTAGATGAGTTGTGGGTTGGACTCATCAATACGAGTATTCTGTTTGAACACATTGGCGAACAGTGTCCTGTTTTGGGACATACTGGAGCAAGAAATTAAGGCCCAGGCCTGTTTCTCACTGTCACAACCTCCCCCCTTCTTCTGTTTATCACTCAGTACCTGTCAAAATGTTGTACAAAGGTAATGGCAGAGAGGGATGATAGAGGGAGAATGAGAATGAGGCGAGGAATGCAAGACCACGCTCGGTCGTTATAGGAATAATTGGCATAACAAATTGTTATTGTCATTCATTAATTAGACACAAACACTGTCAGATCTTGCCTCTGTTGCTGCAAATATTCGTGCATTTGGCTGGAATCATGCTCCTTCTCTTCTGCTTTCATCCCTTCCTCCTCTTCTTTCTTTTGTCATCTGTTTCCTTATTTCATCTTTTGCGTATTACACGAGGCTAAAAACATTCATTTCAACCTGCAACCTCCTTCATTTGTTCACTAGTTCTCCTACCTGAAGATGGAAATTGGTTAGGCTGTGATCACAAACTACAGTTCAAATAGGTACATGATGAGTAACTTTTCCTTCCCTATTACTGGATCTCAGAGGTGGATTAAAAAACCATCAAGTTAATCTTCTTCTAGCAGCTATATTTTTATTAGTGAACATAAAACTACATGTCTAGAAAAGGGGTAACAAAAGAAGCCAAACAACAAGTAACCTGGCAATTCGTCACCATTTTGAAATAGAGAAATACAATTTACCTGTCCTTTCAATCTTTTTAGTCAGAACCCAACATTTTACATGTTGGCAGAGCTTTTACCTCTTGGCAAGAAGTTTGCCAGATCAAATCCCAGCTAGGGAAGCTTTCTTGGTGAATTTTACTGGTTTCCTCCCACAGATCACAAAGTCACATAGCAAATTTGATACCTCTAATTTGTTTGTCTATCCTGTCGCTACATAGCCTTGCGCCTTGTCCAGGATGCCCCCCTCCCCGCTCTTCTGACTGCTAGACATGAGCAACAATGACCCAGAACAGAGGAAGCGGGTAAAGATAATGGAGGGATGAACTGAGATAAATACATGTATTATGTTTGGTATCATTTGTCTATTGTAGCTGTGTTCCTAAACTGATACAGGTATTTGGCCCGATACTAGCATTTTTACAAGTGCTCGCGCAAAATGCCCYGATACCCAGAACTGATACCAATACTAGTAACAATACTGGTGTCGGTACCCCAWTCAGTGTGTTACAGTTTACATTTCAAATGAAACGTTTGCCAGTTCCTTGTTTAAGATATTTTATTCTAAATAAAAGTTTTTTAAGGTTGTTGTGTAATGCTGAAGTTTTAGCTCAGCTAGTACTTATTTCTCCAACAGAAATAGATTAGATTCGATAGACCTTTATTGTCATTGTACAGAGCACAATGAAATTACAGTTCAGAACACCCATTCAGAAGAAGACAGTAAAGACTTTTACTTGTATTGGTTTGAGAAAAACTATCGGGACATCTCTAGTCTTTTGACTTTAGCAAGCACATAAATAAAAAAACTGCAAAAATATTTTTGTGTGATTCATTTAAAATATTTTGTCACAAATGTCATAATTTGTAATTTGGTAAATGCTGGTGTATTACACTTTATTGTTGATTGTTTAAAAAAGATRAATACTGATGTGTTGTATTTATCAAGTTGTCTTCAGGACTTAGGCACAAGTAAAAGGTTTTCTTTTCGATAATTAACTTTCTCTCAAGCCACTGGGAAACTAGGCTTCATTTTGCTCTGTGTGTGTGTGTGTGTGTGTGTGTGTGTGAGGGATCTAGAGGGATTTCTAACACTGGCTTAG